TCAAATGATACTTCCTCATCTGCTTACACACACGCCTAAGTATATGACTGCAAAAACTTTTTAAAAGGCAGCTTTTTCCTAATTAGTAGGGGGAAAACCTAAATTAAATGTTAGCTTAGCTTCTTTCAACTTTGTTTTTCTCCAAGAACATTTCTTTATAAGTTTTTTTACACCATCTAAGTAGAATACAGTAATATAGACTAAAAATATATATTAAATATCATGGTGTCTATAACTACAATACCATCTGAAATGACACAGTGAATCTTCAACAGCCTTATCCAAGAGTTTAAATGGCATCTAACATTGACTTCAACATCTACCATCGTTGGAGAATAACACTTCAACAAGAATTTGACAGCTTTAAGCCTGGTGGTGCTATGATTGGCCCTAATATAAGTGAGAGAAAATAGTATAAATAAAGTTCTAAAAAGAGATTAGAAAAGGGACCAAAAGGACTTCCCATGTGGGGAGTGGGGATAAACATGATAAAGTCACAGACGAAAAGGTCAACACATACTCACAAAATAAAAACACCTACATAATCTGGAACTAGTAATCATGTAAGGAAATAGGAGGAAACAGTAGAAAGAGAGGTAGAGGCCATATTGTGAGATTCTGAATACTAAGAAATTCAGAGATTTTCAAAAGGCAATTCTAACTTTCTTTGAAACAAAAGCCAACATAGTTATTCACTTGGTTAAAAAAAATTTTTTTCTTTTGATACTGGAGAGCGAACTTGGGATCTTGTGCTTGCGAGGCAGGTAGCAGAACCACTGAGCTAAATCTCCAGCCCACTTGGTAATTTTTTCTTTTTTGGTACTGGGGATTGAACTCGGGTCCTTGCACTTGTGGGGCAGGTGGTGGAACCACTGAGCTAAATCCCCGGCCCACTTGGTAAATTTTTGATGCCAGTTGCTGCCATCTTTTTAAATATTTTTTGCCCAAGTTTACCGGTTAATATATTTCACCTTGGTTATTATACAAAAAAATTTTTTTTAAATCATCTTAAGGTTCAATACAAAGCATGGCAATTTTATTAACGATTATGTAGAATCTAGTTTACTTGTAAGAGTGGGTATATTATTCTCTCCACATTCTATTTTTTTTCTGAAAATATTCAAACACACTTAATTTTAAAATTCATATTTTGCCTTACCACTCTAACTACATTAGATATTCCTTAAGATTGTTTCCACTTTTCAAACTATTCTTCCCACCTATCACTCTCCCCAACTCCATCTGTGGAGCAATGTTTGTTTACATTTGAGAGTAATAAATGATAAACCAGAATCACATTTCTTTGCTTTTACCATGGAACACACCACAGTAACTACACTTCAGAGGATGGGGTAAGAAATAAATCTTTAGGCTCTGAACAAAAGTATTTCTGCAAAATTCATATAAGTACAACCACCAAAAGTAGACAGGGAGCTGAGTATAAAGGTATGTATACCTGTAATCCCAGCAACTGAGGTGGCTGAGATAGGAAGATCTCAAAGTGAAGTCCAACCTGGGCAACTTACCGAGATCTTGTTTCTAGAAAGTAAAAAAGGACTGACAGTATGGTTGAATAGTATAATGCTTGCCTAACACGTGAGTGATCCTAGGTTCAATTCCTAGAATGGAAGGAATCCTCTTGTCTCAGCCTTCCACATGCTGGGATTATACATATGTACCACCAGCTAAATATTTGTTGAACAAATGAGTAAGAAACATTTTGTTGTTAGAAGAAGAGAAACAAAAGCACTATTTATTTTGCTTTTCTGGTACTGGGGATCAAATTCAGAGCCTCTTCCATGCTAAACCAGTGTTATACCCTGAATTTCACACTACACCTCTAACTTGAGAAAAACTCTATTTGGAAGAGGACAGAAAACAGAAAGACTAAATGACCTGCACCTCTTCCACTGTCTCCTCAAAGTGCTATCCTCTGTCTAGCAGCATAAGCATCACATAGGTCCCTGTTAAATCAGCAGCCTACTCAAGATCTATTCCATTCACCTTCTATATTTTGAAAAAAAGATTCAAAGGTCAAAGCCAGGCACAGTATTACATGCCTGTAATCCTAGCACTTGGGAGGCTGAGGAAGGAGAATCTTTAGTTTAAGGTCAGCAAGTTCAAAATCAGCCTTGATAACAGCAAAACCTTGTCTCAAAAACCAAAAAATGAGAAAACATTTCCAAGTGAACAACATGCATGTTAAAGTTTGAGAAGTACTACTGTAAATCTATTTAAAGAACATAAGCTTTAGAAGGGTCAAGATTCAAATCTAAGATCTGACAATATTATATTCATGAAGTGGGCCAAATGTATAAATCTCTCAATTTCCTCAGTTTTAAAATTGAAATGGTAATAGAAGTTACTTCAAAAAGTTGCTATGAGGATTAAATGGAAATCCAAATGTAGCATTTGGTAGACTGCAAAGAAAATAGGATGTATCCAGTGTTAGCTGTTTTTATCATTGAAATCCGCTCTATTATGAGGGCTTACAGAGTAATTGTGGAATTACACATTAAGAAAAACTTTACTAAGGAAATAATTTGTTTGCTTTTCTCTCTACTTTACATAATGAGTCTCCCATTAAGATTAGTGTCAAATATAAGGTCTCCTAACAGGAATAATTGTCTCTTAAATTTCTATTATCCTGACCTTTGTTTCCAATGAATATTTTTTAATTGTGTATAAAAATAAGCAAATATGTAAATAAGCAAATAACCAAATAACCAACCTGAATAACCAAATCAAAATATAGTATCAACTTTAAACAAGAAACTAATGCTTAGAGAATGCTACTAAAACAGTAAAATTTAAAAAAGAAACCAGTAAAATTAATAGAGGGTTCAGACTACTTTAAAATTACTATACTTTACTGAAGCACTCTATTTAATTTTAACATATAGAAAAGAAATTTTCAAATCAGAAATATAGCTTGTCAGGCGTGGTGGTAGACGCCTGTAATCCCAGCACTCGGGAAGCTGAGGCAGGAGAATTGCTGTGAGTTTGAGGCCAGCCTGGGCTACACAGGGAGTTCAGGGCCAACCTGAACTACAAAGGGAGACCCTGCCTCAAAAAACAAAAACAAAAACAAAACAAAAAAAGAAATATAGCTTACAAATAAAACTACCACAAATATCTGAAATTATAAAAACAATGGAAAAAGGTAGTAAAGAATGAGAGTTTTAGATAAAAGTAATGCTTAAAATGTACCAACATTAAGTCTAACATGGAAAGGTTTAATTATCTGTTTTCAAGCAATGATCCCTGTATAGGAGATATGAATAGTTCATTCATCATCAAATAAAGAAAGAGAAAAACTTTTTCTGTTCCAAACAGTAAAGGCAAATTAAATGCTTCTAGTGGAATAAAACATGACAGGGAAAGCAAATTCCTTCCCTTGTCACTAAAAGTTTGTTATCAATGACAAATATTAGCCTCTCTTTCCTAGAGAGGTTAAACTTGGTTCCTTTTGGAAAGAAGGTTTTATCTGCCTATTTAAGCAAATCAGAAAATTCAACCAGCAATGTTTTAATAATTACAATTAACATAAACTTAAGAGTCTGCAAAGTAAAAAAAAGAATCTAACTAAAAAATGGACAGGGCAGGCATGGTGTCAAATGGATGCAACCCCAGCTACTGGGGATGCTAAAGCCTGAGGATCACCTGAGCCAAGTTCAAGAAAAGGCCTCAACAATACAATGAGACCCTGTCTGCAAAACAAATAAAGATGGACATGGACTCAGTAAACATTTTTCTGAAGAAAATATACAAGGGGCAATCAGCATTTTAAAATAGGATCAACATCTTTTGTCATTAAGGACTAATTTATAATGAGATACCACACTTTACACCCATTAGGATGACTATTATTAAAAAACAATTAACAAGAGCTAGTAAGGATATGAAGAAATTTGACTCCTTGTATACTGTTGGTAGGAATGCAAAATGATGCAGTTGCTATGGAATACAGTATGGCAGTTCCTCAAAACTTACTATACACAGTATTATCAATGGGCTGGGGATTTAGCTCAGTGGTTCCACCACCTGCCTCACAAGCGCAAGGTCCCGAGTTTGATCCCTGGTACCAAACAACAACAACAACAACAACAACAACAACAACATAGTATTATCAAATGTTCAAGTAATTCCACTTCTGAGTATGTACCTAAAAGAGAGCAGGGATTCCAAAAGATACTTTTGCACTTGTATTCACAGCAGGATCACTTATGATAGCCAAAAGCTGGAAGCAACTCAAGTGTCCACTGATGGATGAAATGATAAACAAAATATGCACTATACATACAGTGGAATATTACTCATCCTTAAATAGGAAGAAACCTGGATACATGCTATAAAATGGGTGAAGTTGAAGATGTGATGCTAAGTGAAATAAGTCAGTCATTAAAGAATAAATATTGAAATTCCCAGGGTGGGGATTTAGCTCAGTGGTTTCGCTGCTTGCTGCGCAAACGCAAGGACCCAAGTTTGATCCGCGGCACCAAAAAAAAAAAAAAAAAAAATTTGAAATTCCCAGTATTCAAATTTATAGAGACAGAAAGTAAATGCCAGGGGTTAGGGTAAGGAGAAAACAGGGAGTTAATGTTTAACAGATACAGAGTTTCATTTGAGGAAGATACAAAAAGTTCCAGAGATAAATGGTAGTGATGGTGGTAAGCATAGTGTGTATGTACTTAACTATATAGCTAAAAATCGTTAAAATGGTCAATTTTGTTTTGTGTATTTTTCAACAAAAAATTTCACTATCTTAGCATTCTTAAATTAGTAAAAGATATTACATGATAATTTGAACTTATTTGAATTAGATTTCTTAAATGTTTTATGTAAAAAAGAACAAATGTAATGTTGCCTCTTTGTCTTTGAATAAAAAAACTTTATGGAAGGTTCTCAACTTTTCAATCAAAATTCAAAATCATGTAGATGGTGAAGAGAGTAGAAGAAGAGATTACAAAACAAAGCAAAATAAAACACACAAAAAAAACCTTGTTTAGGTGTTTCTTCCTCTTTTTTAGTCTCCTCATCCTCTAAGGTAGGACTTTCCCGAGAAGAGTTGTCCTGTTGGCTACAGTTTTTCAATAGTACAGGATCAATTTGTGCTTTCAGGAGCGCAAGAGTCTCAGCCAACTCGTTTCGATTTCTAAACAAGGGAAAAAACAAGACAACATAAAAATCTTTCTCCTATTCTGAAGAATTTTCTGATTAATAATGTCTTTTGGAAATTAAAAATTTAAAAAAACATTAAAAACATCCAAATTAATAATTAACCCTGAATTCTAAAATTAAGAAAGCACACACATTAAAACATACTATTCACGAAAGAGAACAGATTAGAACTCATTGCAATGGTAATATAGATTTCTTTGCTGAAAATGAAAGGAACAATGCTAAATAAAATTCAAAATTTGATCACTTTTTAAAGTATTATGTAATCTGTAAGAAGATAAAATCAATATATAACTTGATTGAAGTATTTTTAACAAAATAATCCAAGGGTTGGGTATTTAGCTCAGTGGTTCGGCAGCCTGCCTCGCAAGTGCAAGGTGCCAAGTTCGATCCCCGGTACCAAAAAGAAACAAAAACCAAAAAACAAAACAATCCAAGTTCTTGATTCATTTGGAAATAATTTTTCTATCTTCAGAAATGACAGCATTTAATAATAATATAAAGTAATTATAATAATAAATGATTACAACAAAAAGTCAATTCTAATAATACAGCTTAAAAATAGTAAGAATTTAGTTGCTGATTTTCTTTTTCCAATTATAGTTTATAATTACAACATGGTAATTATGATTCAATAATAACATGATTCAATAATAACAGAAAAGGGCCAGGGATTTTGCTCAGTGTGCTGCTGTTTGCCTCATAAATGCAAGATTCCTGGTACCAGAAAAAACAAAACAAAACTGTAGAAGTACAATCTTAACAGAAAATAGCTAAGATTTTAATCTATAAATTCTTTAGTTTTATTAGAAAAACTGAAGATGTAGTAGGAATGATTTAAATACTCACTTGAATATTTTTCCTTCTCAGAAAGAGTATGAAATGGTGACATTAAAAAGCAATTCCTAGAGTAAGAGCTGGAAAAACTTATCTCTACATCTACCAATAAATTAATCTACAACATGACTTCTTTCCCTCATCTGTGTTCCTAAAGAACTATGTATGCATTTATCACATTAATGTGATTAATGTTAGAATGAAATTGTTGGTTTTCTTTCCTGTCATGTCATATATGTCCATATCCTATTCCTTTCCAGTTCCATGCTAGCTAGCTTGCATCGCTTCAGCACAGAGACTCTTTGATTAAGTAGGCTCTAAAACATTGTTTAATGAAGGAATGAAATCACTGTTCCTAAATTAAATGGTTATGTGCCCAAGGACAAGTGATATAATGTTGAGTACCTCACACATGAAATGCTTGCAATGAGAAATGTTTCAGATTTCTAGTACTTTCAGATTTGGGGGGGAATGTTTACATATACATAATGAGAAATTCTGGGAATGAGACCCAAGTAAAAACACAAGTAAATTCATTTATGAATATAAATTCAGTTATGTTTCATATATACCTTGTATACAAAGCCCGAAGTATCTCAGCCACCCATTGAGATATCTGTGATTGTTGGTATTACCATTTTGTATATCTTAGTTTATATGCTACCAGTAAACAATCATTTTTTCGTACTTATTCATATATAAGTACTTAAAAGTAAAAAATATAACATATCATTAACAGTGAAAAAATTATTATGTTCAGAATGCCTGTGCCAGTAGTTACATAGCAACAGCAAACAACAGCAGGCTTTCAATCTCCACCTACAGTGCTTGTTTTGATTAAGAGCTTAGTAACCATTGTTTTTTTTCAAGCATCAGAAGCAGGTGAATGGCCAAGAAGTGAGTAGTCTAGAAATGAGGAGACACTCGGCTTGGATGGCCTGTTAATGTTTCCTACAATCATCTACTTCATGAACAGTTCCGTCTTAGAAGTCTCTTTGATTTTATAAACTGACATGATTTCTCGTTTTGCTACACATACTACATACAGTAAACACAATATATGTTTACATGAGGTCATCTATAGGTACCTTTTATGCAATGTTAGTAATAACTTCATTGTCACTATTTTCAAGAGTGCTCTAATTCAGAAATAATTTGGTTATTACATCATCAATCAATAAATGAACTAGATTCTCATTACTGATATAAATTTTTTTGATATCTATTTCTTCCAACTTACTATCATGCTCTGAAGGTATGTTTTTTGGACATGTAAGGAGGTAAGTACAAGGCATGGTTGGGCATGCCTGTAATCCTAGTGCTCTGGAGCCCAGCCTGGGTACCTTAGAGACAAAGACTCTGTTACATACATACATACATACAGGGTTGGGGACACAGCTCAGTGGAAGACCCTGGATTCAAATCCCCAGTGCAGGGAGGGTGTAAGACATCATTTTTTCTCACTTGACATGTAGAGTCCTTTAAAGTCACCGCTTTGTTCATTATCATCACTAAACACAGTCTAAGACAGAGGTTGTACCAGGCAGGCACAACTGTGTCTTTAGGCACTGTGTTTCAAACATTCACAACAGCATGTAAAGAACTGGTCAGGTTATCATAACTTTCCACAGTAGGCCACACTGTTTCCCAGATTCAGCATGTACTTTTATTTTTGGTTTTACTCTTTTTCTTTTTACCCAGCCCAAGCCTGCTCTGCAGAGCCAGTTTCTCCCTCACTCTTCACTTTTACTTTTTCAAATAAACATTGTTACTTTTCTTTTTTTACAAAAAAAAAAAATCAAAGTATAGATTTTTTGCAAACTTTTCACATCCACAACTGTTTACTGTTCGAGCATGCTGGTCAAGAAAGTGCTATTTTTCTGTTTATTATTGAATGGTTAAACTGCAGGGCAAAAGCACAAAGAATCTGTGAGAAATGAATGGCTAAAAAACAAGAAGTTTAAATTAGTGAAGCATGTTGTGTTTGGCAGCTCTCATTTCTCTTTTTCCAAGAAAAATGTCTAGCCTTAGATAATTCCTTGCCCAAATTGCTTTTCTTCTCTTTTTCCTCTTACACTGATATTCCAAATGAAAGCCTGACAGTTCTCAGCCTCAGTGCTACTCCTGGCAGTTTCCCTAACTCTGGGTGCTCTCAGATGAATAGCCCCTCTGGGCTTCTTGGTAACTGAACTAAGTCTCATCTCCAAATAATCTTTCACTGTCTACACCACCATGGTCACTCACCACGACACTGATCTGCAGATATCTGTCACATGACTGGCCACATCTGAGGGAAACCAGGAGGCATAAACATTTTTTAAAAGAACTTCAGCTGGAGTACAGGCAGCATAGTTTTTGAGGAATAACAAAATCTTGCAATCATCATCCCTTCCAGTTTCCCTATAATGAGAATGGGCTTCTGGTCAAAGGTGTGTCTGTGGATCAGAAAGGATGTCCCTGGTGATCCATGCATTTTGTTAGCATAACAATAGACTGATAAGAAATTTATTCATATAAAACAGGTGAACACAAGCTTTTGCCAGCAACAGAAGTTTATATTTCCAGGTGTCGGCACACTGTGCAACCAAGCACAGTTACTTTATCCTTAGCATCCTTCACTCCCACTGGGCTGTCTCACCAGCTGTGGTCAGTGTCTTTCCGGGGCAATAAAGGCAACAGTGATATTTTACCAGAACAGTACTTCAGACTTCTTCTGGTGTCAGATTTTTATTAGTGATGACCTTGGCAAATTCATCAATGAATTCTCTGCTACTCCTTGATCAGCAGATGTTTTAATCACCACAAATGCTTAAAAGTATGTCATGCTGTTTCTTAGATTTATGCAAGAATACTGCTGAATTTGCTTCATCTTTCAGTTCCTCATGAGAATTTTGTTTCATGATCAGCATACCATTAAGTGCCACGTATTCATTGTGATGCTGACAGATCCACTTTCAATACATGACTAAGATCTTCATTTTTAGCTGTATACAGTGTTTTTCAATTTTTCATTAACTTCGGTATATAACTTTCAGTAAAATCTTCAACAGTTAATCCTTTTGTTTCTTCAGGTCATTTATGGTTATCATTTTAACACCATGCTCTTTTGGAACATGTTTTACTCTTACACCACTCTACAATTTCACTACCAATTTGATTTTCTGCATAAATCAGAAGGATTTTCTGATATTTTCAGTTCTTTAAACCACAAAGCAGAGAGAATTTTTTTAAAAAGTAACATATGCAGGTTCTGAGCTCATGTGGAACATCATGGGGGACCTTCCAATGGTACATCTGCCATACAGCACATACCACTTTTTTATTCTCTAGTGGCCAGACCTGTGTGGGGGGAATCTGAGGGTGTAGGGAAAAAAAAAATCACAGTTGAAGGGGGATGGGTCTTTTTTCCTTGGGGATGTTGAATAAACTGTGTCTTACTCCTATGTTTTAACTGAAACACATCAAACAAGGTCAAGTGTGGAATTTTCCACTTGTGGCATCATGTTAATTCTCAAGTTTCAGGTTCTGGAGTATTTTCATGTTCAAAATTTTGAATTAGGTATGTTCAAAGTGAATCCTCACTAGGCCTCAGCTTCATCATCTATAAAAGTCTGGATTCTCTGAGGATTATTAAATGGGTCTCCCAAAGAAAATAAAAAAAATTAGCAGTGATGAATCTTTCACACATTAAAATGCCAACAAACTGTTGTTCAAGTGGATTAGCATACATATTTATGCATGATACAAGCATATACAATGAAATGCTCTAAAATTCTAATTATCTACTAGGAGAACAAGATCAGTTATCTTCTTTGCAAAGAGGGGTAAATTAAAATCCAAACATTTGAAAAGAATTTATTTTTAACCAGGCCAGGTGGTGCATACCTGGTAATCCTAGCACTTGAAAGGCTGGGGCAGGAGAATTTTTGCCGTTGAGTTTGAGGCCAGGCTGAACTACATATAATGGACCTGACCGATGCTTAAAAGCCAGATAGAGGTCCCAGAGCTATACTATTCACTGCCATACTCCTACTGCTTAGCACAATGTCTATTATAAAAGTTGATATGCACGATAAATTTATACATTTAATGAAATAAATATTAATGTGTCCATTAAGTGCTTAAAAATTGGATCTATAAGTGGAAATCAGAGTCAATAAACTCAATGGTTTCTGAATGGAACTGAATATTTCTACATTATTTGGGGAAAGTTCCCTGATACAGTTGCAGATAAAAATAACATATTCATAGATGTTCCAAATGATGAAAAATAACCTGGTACCACTTTACTAAAGAAATCTGTGGTTGTTAATGTGAGAAAACTGTGTTCAGGTATTTTGTATAAGCATAAGTTTATTTTATGTTTATCATAAACAGATATTTACACATAGAAAGAGGTTTGTTTGTTTTTAAAAGCAGAAGCATAAAAATTAAACCTGGGAAAAAAGTTAAGGGTGAAAAAGAGGTGAAAGGAACATCAATGAAATTCTGACCTTCCTGCTGATAAACATTTCTTCAATGAAGAAACTAAGTTTCAACCTTTGAGGTTAGAAATGTGAGAAAATGTAATAGTTCAAGAGATGGGAAGAAAAGAACAAAATTTTACTAAGTGTGTACTATGGTCCCAGCATATTTGATATATGTCTTACAATATTTTGAGAATATATTATCCTCATTTTAGTGTACAGGAAAATAAGTCTAAAGGGAAACGAAGTTAACATTAATATGCCTATATATAGTAAAAGTAGATGATCCCAGATTCAAGCATAATTGTTAATTTAAAAATCTCCCACCATGCATTAGAGTATGATCTACTTAAAACAGTGAACCTTACAAAATGTATTAAGCATGACTGGTCAACAGTAATCATGATTATTTTTCTCATATTTTTTATCTACAAATTAGGAGACAACACTTTTAAACAACTATGCAAGGTTGATGTGGGCAATGGAAGACAGTGATAAAATTGTAACATGAACACAACCCCATTAAGTGTTGACATTAATAAGGAAAGACTGAGTAAATTTTACTTCAGAAGTACATTGTTTACCTCCAGTAAGGAAATTAACTACAAGGAATATCATGTAGTTACACTTGCTTATAAAACAATCCCCAATGAATTTATTCAATAAACATTTGTTCTCAGAAAATAAAACTTGAGCATTTATGACCTAAACAAATATTGTTAATTATTAAATAATCACTAAATAAAATGCAAAAAAATTTAAGCATTAATGTCAAAGGAGCTTTACATAAGTCAGCAGTAAGATATCCATGAGTTCTCACTACTTTGTAGAACTGATATTTTCAAAATTAATATGCATTGTGGGTATTCGTAGAACATTTTAAAAATAATAAAGTTGCAAAGATAGAAAAATTAAAGACACAAATATTTTGAATAAAGATCCCAGTATCACTACTAAAAAATTTTAAAAGTTGCATCTCAAGGCCGTGCATTAAATGTTTCTCTTCAAATATGCTTGTCAACACAAATTTAAAAATTAAAACATTTTTAAATGAATTACAATGAAAAACACAATGTTTGTTAGAACCCAATAATTCATACATATCAAGCATAGATGTACTGTATCGAGATGAATCGGCCAAATTAAGTTAGAAATAAATAAGGAGGGCTGGGGATTTAGCACAGTGGTTTCGCTGCCTGCTGCCCTGAGTTCGATCCCCGATACCAAAAAAAAAAAAAAAGAAAGAAAGAAATAAGGAATGCCTAATAGAACACAGCTAAATAAAAACCAAACAATATTGTTTTTGTCTAAAAATGTGTTCTTCTCTATGTACAAGGTTTATGTCCTAATATGTACTAAACTTCTAAATACTAAAATTTATTTGATGAATTTGTTGGGTACTAGGCTAGGCCCAGCCAACTCACCAACTCCACAATAAAGGACCATGCTTGCCTCACAGATCACATTCTACTAGAGAAGAGATCAAAGTAGGGAAAATATAAATAAATGTCAAGAGATTGCAATAAAAGATACCTGACAATGCATTTCCATGAAGAGCCATCTTGATCATCTTGCTCTTCTATGTACATTCTGACATTGTGATCTTGATCCAACTGGTACCAATACATGAGGCCATCCTTGTCTCGCCCAATTGGCTGAAGACGCATAGTGTCGGCATCTTCCTCATTAATAATATTCTTGAATTTAAGATTGTCATCAAATTGACACTCGCAGAGATACTGAAAAATAATTATAAAATACGTCATAAGTACTTCTCTATTATAATAAATATGATACAGCCACAAAGTTGATTCAGGGACAAAGCAGGTAGAATACACACAGCTTATCCATTTTTCACCATCTTTTTCCCCTGATGTAAAATCTTTTAAAAATAATCAATGAGCCAGATATGGTGGCCCACATCTGTAATACTAGCACTTGAGAGGCTGAGGGAGGAGGATTGCTGTGAGTTTAAGGCCAGCTTAGTCTACATACTGGGTTCAAAGGCCATCTTGAATTATACAGCAAGACCCTGCCTCAAAAAAAAACAAAAACCTACTCAAAAAGATAGTTTTAAGTTAACATTTTAATAAATTTTATACCAATGATTAGGTTTAACACAACTAATGACACACAAATCAAATTTCATTTCTAAATCAGTAAGTCTACTTGCACTAAAAACTCTCAAATTGTCTCATGCTATAAAATTTTATTTAAAAAATTTAATTAGGGGGCCGGGAATTTAGCTCAGTGGTTTTGCCGCCTTCTGCGCATGCACAAGGACCCGAGTTTGATCCCTGGTACCAAAAAAAAAAAATTTAATTAGGCAAATAAAAAGTACATTTATGGTGTACATTATGTTTTAATATACACAAACCATACATGCAGGATGGTTAAATCAAATTAATAAACTTATCTATTACCTTACATACATTTTTATGGTGAGAACATTTAAAATCTACTCTATTAACAGTTTTCAAATATGTAATACATTTTTGGGGGGAGTACCAGGGATTGAACTTGGGACCTTGTGCTTTTGAGGCAGGCAGTGGAACCATTGGGCTAAATCCCTGGCCCTGTAATATATTAACAACAGTTACTACCTTGTACACTAGAACCCCTGAATTAATTTATCTTCTCTAAGTGAATCTTTAAAGTCTAATATCTCTCCAGTCAGCTCGTTATCCCTTCAACCAGTGGTAACCACCATTCTACTTTCTGTTGCTAAGAGTTTCCACATGTGAGAATATGGGGTATTTCCATGTCTGGCTTATTTCACTTAACATAATGTCCTCCAGGTTCATACACATTGTCACAAATGACAGGATTTCCTTCTTTTTAAAGCCAACTAGTATTCCACATATTCCATATTTTCTCTTTCCATTCATCAAGAAGTAAGATTCCACACTGTGATTAAAGCTGTTGTGAACATGACAATAGGAATGCAGGTATGTTTGACAATCCAATTTCTTTTTGCTGCATGTGTATCCAGTACTAGCACTGTCAAACCATTTGGTAGTTCTACTTTTAATTTTTGAGGAAACTCAACACTGTTTTCCATAATCACTCTACTAATTAACATTTTCACCAACACTGCATAAAGGACCTTTTTTCTTCACATCTTCACCAACACTTATCTCTGTCTTTTGGATAATAGCCATCCTATCAGGCTTGAGGTGACATTTCACTACGGGTTTTTTGAGACAGGATCTCGCTATGTAGTCCAGGCTGGCCTCGAATTCACGGCAATCCTGCGTCAGCCTCCGGAGTGCTGGGACTCCAGTCATGTGCCACCTCTCCCAGCTTTATTGTTGTAATTTGCATTTTTAATGATTAGTGAGGTTGAATATTTTAGTTACTTTTTTTGGTCTTCTTTTAAGAAAATATCGGCATACAGTTTGGAATAGGGTGCCAAGGTGACCATCCAATCCTGTGTAACTCAGGCTGAACCTGGCCTCCAACCACTAGAGCCAGGTCTGTGTTCACCAGCAAGCTCCAGACTCACAGTGAGACTTTCTCCAGCCTGCTCTCCAACCATGGCTGTCTCCTATTGCTGTCCTTTCTCATTCACTCTGGGAACATGACAGTGTGGAAAGTGGCTTGGAGCCAAGGGGCTGCTTTGGGACCCAGGTTAGAACAATGAGCCCTTCCATACAATGTCGTCCCTGCAGCTTTCAGTTTGCGATTATGGATTATGGCAGTGGGCACTGTACACAGGTCACTCACCAAATGTTGACTGTAGCAGGCCTCACTCTGAGCAGTACAGTAAGCTACTTTTTCCCTGCAGGTTCCAAGCGCCGCTGATTCTCTCAGACCAGTGTAGTTCTCCAGTTCTCAGTGAGCAGAAAGTTTTTAGTTTCACTTTACAGGTGTACCTCGATTTTGTTTGCAAACAATTCGGTTCACAAACAAAAGCGTTTTGCAAAATTTTGTTTGTGAACTCTGCATAGGATGACAAACGTGACCACAGCCATCTTTCCTACACAAACACAAATGTGGTCATCTTTACCAAAACTGTGGAACAAATTAAGTTCGTGAGGCAAGGTACCACTGTATCTCCCTACTGGCGGCTGGCCAGTCACTCTCAGTGGTGCGATCTACAGGTGGTCTCCTCTCTCTTCAGCAATGTGTTCTATTTCTTCTGTATCATTTAACCCTATTTACTTTTCCTTTGTCAGGTACCTCCTGGTTCCCAAATAACCCCTTTTCACTTTGATTCTTCTCCAAGCTACTGTTTTCCAAATAGACACTTTGTCCTGGAGAAGATGTGTTGCTGGCACTCATAGCTCTGTTATTTTTTTTTTTCCTCTGTCAAATGCTTTTTCTGCATGTATTCATGTGGTCATATGCTTTTTGTACTTAACTCTTTAATGTGGCCTATCACATTTACTGATTTGCATATGTTGAATGATACTTACATCCCCAGTTCCCAGAATAAATTCCATTTGATCATGGTGAAGGATCCTTTTAATACACTGTTGAAGTCAGTATGCTACTATTATACTGTTAAAGATTTTTACATCTATGTACTGCACATATATTGGTCTTTTAATTTTATTTTCTTGTAAGGGTCTTTCTCTAGTTTTGGTATCACAACATGTGAATCATCCCTGAGGAAGAGTAGAGCATTTAGCAAGATGTACTTGAGATGCTCTTTTGCATTCCTAAGACTCTTGTCAATAAAAGGTACACTATAAATAGAGAACAACAAGATCATCCACCTGAATATTATCAAAAGTACACGGAAGAAAACAAACTGGGATTATCTGCAGAAACTGCCTCCTGCACACATGCTAAGACATCTGTTGCTTAATGTATAAAACCCACCTTTTTGTGGTAAATGAGGTACAGAACAAGGAACTGCAGAGAGGATAAGTGATTCTAGTTGAGGCAGCTATCACCAGACACTCTGAGTACAGGTAAATAGTTGTCTACACCATGACAACTGGACCTCCAAAGAGGTGGTGTTCTATGTAGCCTTTGTTGAATCTGCTGAGCAGCATTGCTGTTGAGTATGCACCCCTCAACAATTTAATGAGCTGCACTCTTACAAGGTATGTCCCTCTTGTGGGTCTTCCCAGTAGTACTGTTGGAACCCTAAGCAGCTCTTCCCTTGCTAGCTATCTACTAATGCTTTATTTCTGTGAGTCTTAATAAATCTTCTCTCTCACAACTGACTCAGTATTTTCTTCAGTAAGGAACCTACTCCACTAGCCTAGGACAGTTGGGCTGTGGACAAGACAGTATTGATACTATCATAAAATGAGGTTCAGAGTATCCTCTCCTGTGCACTTACCTGGAAGATTTTTGAAAACTGATAATTACTTATTTTTTAAATGTTTTCTACAGTTCACCTGTGAAGCTATCAGGTCCTTGGCTGGGCTTTGCCTGCCTTCCTTCCGCATTTTTCATTACTGATTTAATCTCCATGATCATTCCTGTCTGTTCAGATACTCTAATAATAAATCAGTCTTGGTAGACTGCATGCTTCTAAGAAGTTAGCTATTTCATTTACATTTTATTGCTATATAGTTGGTCATAGGGATCTCTTTTTTTTTTTTGCAGAACTGGGGATCGAACACAGGACTTTGCACTTGCCAAGCAGGCGCAGTGCCACTGAGCTACATCCACGGCTGGTCATAGGGATCTCTTATTATGGTTTTGATTTTTATGACATCAGTTGTAATCTCATTTCTTTTCTGATTTTTTAAAATTTGAGCCCCAGATCTTTCTAGTTGAGCTATAAATTTCCGAATTCTGTTTATATTTTCTAAACAACTCATTTAAAAAACTGTATGATTGCATTTACATGACAATTTGCAATGATGAACATTTGGGAACAGAAAAGATGCGTGCATTTTGGGAGTTACGGACAGTAGGATGGGTTAAAGGAGGCTGTGCACATTAGAGAGTAACACAAAGCTTCTCTACTTTTGGGATTCTGTATGTTTTTTCTCAGTTTTATTTATTTTTAGTAACACGTTTGCAGTACATAACTGTGAACATTCCTTGTGGGGGGACGGTACATATCAATAACATATCTTAATTCTTTTTTCATCCCCTTCCTCTCCTCTACCTTCCCCACTCTCTCCATCTCGTGGTTCTCTTCCTATTAAAAAAAAAAAACCTATCTGCCTTTTCTCAATGATCAATCTTTAATTTTTTATTTATACTTTGGGTTTCTCATATAAGAAAAACCATGAGATATTTAAACTTGTGTGTTTACTTTTTTTCACTTAATATTGTGGTCTCAGTGAATCCATTTTCCTACAAATGACTCGAGTTTTTCTTTCTTTATGGCAGAAGAGTACTCAATTGTATATAAATTTGATACTTTCTTTTGTTGATAGACATATAGACTGCTTCCAAGATTCTGTTATTTTTTATTATGCTGCTATAAATAGCGGTATTCTTGTATCACTGTAATATGAAGTATTTAATTTCTACTTAGAAGAGGAATACTTGCCGCAAATGGAATTTCTAGTTTTAGTTTTTTGATGGTTTCATAATGGCTATACTAGTTTATGTATCACTAACAATGTATAAAGGTCCTTTTTCTCCTGCAGCCTCACCAACATTTGTCATTATTTGATTTCTTGAAGATGGCCATTCTTTCTGGAGTAAGTAGAATCTTACTATTTTAATTTGCATTTCTTGAATTGTCAGCAATGTTGGACATTTTTTAATGCATTTATCAGCCATTTGTACTTCTGAGAACTGTTTATTCCTTTCAGTTGCT